GCACTTCCCTGGCAAGCGCAAGGGTCTGAGTTCAATCCCCGGTTCCGAAATAAAAAAAACCCTGTTATTTCTGTTCATACATGCGACAAAATGTAGTCTTTTTGTAAAGAAAGACATTGTAATAAGTCTCAAAACTGTAATCTAGAATCAATTCAACTATGTACTTAAAATGAAAAATAAAATAGGGAATTTTGGAATGATTTTCCCCAAAAATTTTAATAGCACCATATGACACAATTTGCTTCGTGTTTCAGATTTACTGTTTAATGTTGGAAAAACACCTCAAGACTTCACAAGTCTCCTTAAGGTGCTACCTTTAATTCTTTTTTTTTTTTTTTCAGGTGCTATCTTTTGATATAGCTGATTTTTCCTACACCTATGGTATCATCCTATTCATGGAGTTGCTTTTCTTTGTTCCCAAGTGTCCATGGGATATAATGCGGCAAGAGATATGTGAAACTTTTTTAAATCCTTTTTTCATTAAACTTCATGAAATTTTACATCAACTTCATTTCACTTTGCAACTGATGAGAGGGGTTTTCTTGTTTTGTTTTATGTATGTGGTTCTAGGGATTAAATTCTGGACCTTCCCAGTGAAATACATCTCCACCACTTTAATTTGTTTTTTAATTTGAAAGCAGTCTTGCTAAATTAGTAAGTTCCCCAGGCTTTGCTCAAAATTTCAGTTCTACCTCAACTTCCTAGAGCCCTGGGACTATAGGTGTGCCCCACCAATGTCAGGCTTTGTGACTGTTTCAGTAATCAATGTGGGCTGGGGCTGTATCTCAGTGGTACAGTACAACCATAGCAATCATCAATGAAAATAATAACAAACCTTTGATCTGAAAGACAGGGAAAGGGGTTAGCAGTACAGCCCAGTAGTGCAGCCTTGCCTTGAAGGCACAAGGCTTTGGGTTCATCCCCAGCATGGCAAAGCAAAAACAAAAAAACTCACAGCCCCCAACAAAGCCCAAACACATAGGGAGAGAAAATTAGTGTTGTGATGGACAGGTATGGACAGGCAGCCAACTAGGCACCCAGCTGTTATACGGTAAAGAAATCAACTGAGGCAAAAAACGACCATTAGTACAGAATGCCAGCATGGGCCAGAGGGTCTTCCAATGCTGCAGATACTAGGTGAACATGAAATATCACTAGGAATTCAACCTAACAAGAAAGTGGAATGCATAAGCACACATACAAACACATATAAGTGCTGTGAAGTCAAGGCTTGTATCTATGAAGTGGTAGGGAGAAAATACAGATAGGAAAAAAATTCATTCCATTTCAGCCAGGGAAAGTGGCACATGCCTATATGCCCAACACTCTGGGAGGCTGAGACAGAAAGACAGCAAGTTTGAACTCAAACTGGACAACTTAGGTGAGAGCCTGTCTCAAAAGTGAAGAATAAACAAAAGTCTGGGGATGCAATTTTGTGAGAAAGCCCTTGGTACAGTCCACAGGACCACCAAAAAACAACAACAAAAAAAAAAAAAACGGTTCTCGACAAGTTAGGCCTTGAAGGAGGAACTCTAAAAGCAGGCACCAGGGGAAACACTGCCAAGCAGAGGGTAGGTGCAAAGAAAGGCCTGGTAACTGAAAACACAAAGCTCATTCAGAAAATGCACGGTTCAGTGGAACTAGCTCCATGTTAAGTCCTTAAAGTTTAGGGGAAGATGTGACTTTTTTAAAACAAGGACAACAAAGAACCCCTCAAAAGCCAAGCACAGGGCTGGGGATATGTTAGTAGTACAGCATCTGTCTGACAAATGCATGGTTCTGAGTCTGAATCCTTATATTAAAAAAAAAAAAAAAAGCCAGACACAGGCCCAAGTATAGACCTGGCAAATAAGTGTGAATTTTCTTCCCTAAAGGAGCCACAGATACAATGAATGATATTTGAGAAATACCTGGCAATAGGATACAGAGTGAACTAGGGGAGAAATACATGAAGCTCAAAGCCCCAAAGGCACCTGCTGCTACAGTGTCTGAGCAAGAATGGCAGACAGTTGGCACCTTCACCAGACCTCAGTTACCACAGTGCAGAAGGGATACTGGGGGGAATGTAGAGTCAGAAATGATCCTGGGGGTTTGGGCCAGACTGCAGCTAATAATGCAAAGAGGAAAGGCAGGAGCAGGCACTTCGTAGGGCAGGAGGAGCAGAGTTAAATTTGAGAAAGGCTGAATGGACTGAGTTAAGGTGGCCTACAAGCAGACGCAGCTGAAAACCTGAAGCTCCAGAAACAGACTGGGAAGCCTCAACATGTGATAGCTGGAGCCACAGCAGTTGGTTGCCTTATTTGTTTTGGGTCTTTTTTGATTTAGCCACAACAGTTGGAACTAAACAGTGAGTTCCACTAATTTTCAACTGGGTGCATTACCTCTGACCTTCAAATGTCTTCATTATTTTTGTTTCTAAAGCTGAGAATTGATTCCTGGACATGCTAAACATGTGTTCTACCACAGAGCTATATACCCTAGCCCTTAACTCTTTTGTTTTGTTTTTGGTGGAACCGGGGATTGAACTCAGGCCCTTGTGCTTGCCGAGGAAGCACTTATTCCACTGAGCCATCTCCCCGGCCCCTTTATTTTTTTTTTTTTTTTGAGACAAGGTTTCGCTATGCAGTTCAGGCTGGCCTCAAACTCAAGACTATCCTCCTGCCTCAGCTTCCTGAGTGCTGGGATCACAAATGCACCACCACGCCCAGCAGCCCTCAACTTTTTTAAAGCTGTGCACCATGCATATTCCCATGTCCAAAATCATCTTTTCTCCCTATTCAACTTAGTGTATATCCTATTTTATTTTTTAAATGTATTTAGTACAAGGTCTACATGGTCTCACTACACAGATTAGACTTGTAATGATTCTCCTGTTTTCATTCTCCCCAGCTCTGGGATTATAGGCAAGCACCACCACGCCCAATTTAAAAATTAATATTTGGGGGGGCTGGAGAGATGGCTCAGTGGTCTAAAGCACCTACTTGAAACAAGCTTGGCAAAGCACAGGGACCTCGGTTCAATCCTCCAGCACCACATGCCAGCCAGCCCCGCCCCCTGGTGGGCTGAGCTGGCCACACACACACACACAATAAATAAATGTAATAAATAAAAATAAATATTTAAAAAAAATTCAATCCCCTGTAACAGCAACAAAAAATTTAAAAAAAAATTAATATTTGGGGGCCAGGGAGATGGTTCAGTAGAATAAGCACTTCCCTGGCAAGCACAAGAGTTCGAGTTCAATCCCCCATTACACACACACACACACACACACACACACACATACACACACAAAAGATTAATATTTGGGCTCAGTTTTACTTTTTTTTTTTTTTTGTACCAGGGATTGAACTCAGGACCTTGCATTTGCCAGGCAGGCACTTAACGCCACTCAGCTATCTCCCCAGCCTATATACCCTATTTTAAAATGTTCTCTGATCCAAAAAGAAAACTGTGTCTTCCAAGATTACTAACTCCAGAGGGGTAAAAAAAACATTCTCAATGTTATTTTAGTGACCAGCTGAGCAAAGCAAAAAGGCTTAACTGATGAGAACCAGAGCCTAGAAAGAACCAGGAGGCCTTGAGCAGGGGTGTCTTCAGGGGTACCCCAGTGGTTTCATGGGTGTGTTGGTGCAGGAGTGGGGACACCTGAGACCAGTCCAGGCTCTGCCCAAAAATCAGGTGACAGCCGCTAATTCACTTTTCTAGGTTTCCTGTTTTACAGACTGACGTGTACATGGCTTACAACAGTGTCTATCACTGTTCTCATTGAGAATGGTCAGGTCTAGCTGGATTTTAGTTTAGAGCAAGTTTTACTCGTTTTAAGTGCCATTAGGAAATTTCAGGAATAATCTAAATGTCTTTGGTCTTTTCTCCGCTTCCTCGCAACTGTTTTGTTTTTTTTTTTCTTTCTTTCAACTGCCTTTTAACTCTGATTATAAATACATCAGAGGGGCCTGAAACGCAAAAAGGAAGTGGAGTCCAAAGAGTTAATTTTGTTGGATTTGTGGCTCTGGTAAAGACAGTGGGCACAAAGAAAAGAAACAAGAAAAGAAAATCAAAACGACTAAAATGGGATTCGGAGTAGTGGCAACCAGCCAGTCAGCTTCTAGACACTTTGCATTCGACCTGGTCAACCAATTAAGAGAAAACTAGGACAAAAAGACCACGTAGGTTTTTTAAGGTGTAAGGTTCGAATAGGACCTACCAGGGGCCAGGGAGATAGCTCAGTAGAATAAGTGCTTGCCTGGCAAGTGCAAGGGCCTGAGTTCAATCCCCGGTTCCACAAAAACAACAACAACAACAAAAAAAAAAAAAAAAACGAATAGGACCTACCTTAAAAGCTAAATGTGTGTCACCTGAGGAGGGCAGAGTGGCCACTGATGTCAAGGGAACAGCAGTGTTTTTCTGTTGTCCGAATTTACAGACGCATGCTTTTGTGATTTAAATTTAGGGTGCATATTTTTAAGCTTAAAAATGGGCTACTTTTCTACCTTACTCTTTCTTTTGCAACCATGCCTCTCAACTTTGGCTAGGAACACTGCTACCTGAGGACTCAACAGCCGGAGGGGGATGAGCGAACGTTACCAATTACTATCAAATATCTCAGCATTGTGGCGGGGAAAGGGGATCCAATCTTGGACTAAAGGCATTACAAGCCACCAACAGACTTTTTTTTTTTTTTTTAAATCCAGTCACAATCTCCCTTCCTCATTAGCAAAGGGACTTTCTAGACACATCTTGAGCTTCACTACAAAATGTACTTTGTGACTGAAGGGTATTGTTCTCCCAGAAGGGACCCATTTTCTCGTGAAAGCGACTTGCATCCAAGAGCCTGCCTCTGGGCGGCGGCGGGGAGCGTTTGCGGGGTTTGGCCTGGATGCCTCCGGGGCCGGGGAAGCGCGGCTTTGGCGGGCCCTAGTCCCCCACCGGGCCGGGGCCGGGGCCGGGCCGCCCGAGTCACCTCACCCGACCGCCCCTCGCGCGGCATGGCCACCGACCTGATGACACTGATGTGGAACTGGTCCTCGCGAAGGCCCCTCCAGGCTCCGGGCAGGAACTCCTTGCACCACAGATAGGCCTTGCGCCGCGTCCGGGGCTCGGGCTGCTCGTCTGCCGCCGCCGACGGGGGCAGGGAGGGTACCGGTGGCGACAACGGCGGCGGGGGCAGAGCGAGCGGCGGCTGCCTGCCGCCCAGCTGCTTGGGCTCCGGGTCGCTGGCGGCGTCGCGCTGCTGTCCCACGCCGGGCGCCGGGGTCGCGCTCCCGCCGCTACAGCTCAGCAGCAGCCCGAGCGGCGAGGGCTCCGCCTCGCCCCCGGTGCAGAACTTGGTCTTCATGCCCGACAGGCGGCCGACGAAGCTCGGGCGGCTGCAGCGCGAGAGGACGAGGCTCAGGGTCCGGCCGGGGGCCCGCCTCGGAGGCCGGGCGGGGGTCGTTCGCAGGCTCGCTGAGCGGCCAGCCGGCTGGGGGCTGCGCGCTGCGGGCGGCGGGCGGCGGTTGACTGGGGGCGCGCACAGAAGCGGCAGTGGCAACGGCGGCGAGCTGCGAGCGGCCAGGAGCTACGACTGCCGGCCCAGAGCGCCGGCTCTATAGAGTGCCGCACGAGGAGCGCCGCGCGTCACAGCCCGCCCCCGCGCTCGCTGCCGATTGGCCGCGGCCTGCCACCCGGAGGCCCGCAACCGCCGCCGCCCTCCCCAAGCCTCCTTCCCATTGGCTGCGCGGCCGCCCCTCCTTGCCCCGGGCGCTGAGGCCGCCGGGGGCAGGG